GTGGACGTATTGCCTGTAAGTGATCCCCAAGCAACTTCTGTCTGTTATGCCAGATATTTCAATAGTATTTGAAAGGTCGAGCAGGGCTGAATAATTCTGCCAGTTACTGCTGAGAAAATGAGCCAAAGGGAATTCAGTTCAGTTAATTCAGTCCATTGCGTCCTGCGTGTGTTTACTGATATGCATTTGATGCATTTTGTGTGCAATTCCCTGGCAATTTCATACATCTGCTAAATCTTTGTCTTTTTGAATGCAAATGATTCATGGGCATTAGAGTATTGGAGACCCTTAAAGGGATGAGGTGTGGCTAATTTCACTTTTAACATTAATATTAATAATATCACCGTATAGGTGTTTCAAAGTGCTATGTACCAGAGACACAATGCTTCTCTTAAATCCCAATTGAAATTGGACACATTTCTCCTAATGTCAGAACTATTTTTATTTGTAAAACATTGATCTCCGTTGTCCTATTGAACTATTGAAGGTACAGGAGTTTATTGACTTGATATCAGTCCTCCTTAAATATTACTAAAAAGCTATATTGTGTGTGTGTGTATATGTGGTAAGGAGCTCAGAATGCTGTCAGCCCAGGTTAACGTGTCTCTAAATGGCAGATCATATGTTCACACCCGAGCCGCTCTCGTCCCTCATTCTGGAAGAATGCTTTTCCGTTAGCATGTCTAATGACCAGGCTGCAGAGACGAGTTATTCAGCGCTGTCGCTGACAAACCAGATCACCACGAGCCTTTGGTTGTAAATCTTAAAATCAAGTTGTTTCTGTCACCCTCTGCTCACCGCGTCTGCTTCAGATGAGGCTGTAACCACTTGGCTATCAGCCTCATCTGGACCCAAGGACAAGTAGCAACAGTCTATGGTATATAAATGTTTTACTCATTCATTACATCCCGGCAGTAATTGTTTCAGTCACTCACATTTAGGAAAAATGTAATTTTTGTGAATAGTCTTTTTAAGCGCCCTGGGGCATGTTTAATATAGTGTCCTTTCAAAAAGTAGTAGAATGCAAATCTTACCGTTTTAGTGACCTTGGGGGGAAATATGTCCATTTAAATAGGCCTACATTTCATTAGATGGATTGTCTTGTCCAAAGCGACGTACAAATAAAGAAAACATGGGGGTAGCAAGCAGGGTCAGCCTGGACCCAGCGTCCGTGCAGCAACTACGCTTGTGGACCTGGCGCAAGGGCCAAATATGCAGTATGATTGTTCTGCTGGGCATGAGATTCAATCCTATGACCTTCTGGAATCGGGCATTGATCCCACAAAGCCTTATCCCCCTTACTATTGATGCTGCTTTTTCCCCCTGTTTGTCTAATCATATGTACCTCTTACAGCATGGAAGGTGGAGAGCTGTTCGACAGGGTCAAGGAGAAGAAGCAGCTGAAGGAGTCCATCGCCAAGCTGTATTTTTACCAGATGATGTTAGCAGTGGAGGTGAGTGGAATACGATGCATTCGTAAAGCATGTTCTAAATCTTCTCAAAGATTTCGGCTATAGGGAGAAGCACCTGGAGATGTGAGGTATGCTATAGCTTCTCAGTGGGTGGCACTCTTGCCTCACACCTCCAGGGATGGGGCTTTGAGTCCCACCTCTGCCCTGTGTGTGTAGATCTTGCCTGATCTCCCCGTGCTCATGGGGTTTCATCCTGGTACTCTGGGTTCTTCCCACAGTCCAAAGACATGCAATTCAGTGAACAGAAGTCTGTAAATTGGCTGTAGCACGTGAGTATGAGGGTGTTTGCATCCATGACTGATGTGCTCTGTGCTTCCTGGCAACAAGCTCTTGGCCTCCTTGTACTGGACAAAGGGTTATGAAATATGGACGGATGAGTGGATGGATTGACAGTTTGAAAGCTGGAAAAGAAAGCGAGTGCCCTTTTCTATTCACACAGTACCTCCACGACAATGGGATCATCCACAGGGACTTGAAACCTGAGAATGTTCTCCTCTCTTCACATGATGACATCTGCCTCATTAAGGTATAGCACAGTCCTGCTTCTTCAGGGTTACTTGGTTGAGATGATAGTCACTTAAGGTCTGTCACACCTGGACAAAATGAAATTGAACACTTCGGCAGGAACCGTCTGTCACATACTTAAAGTGACACTGCTACCTTTTTCATTCTATATCACATCTCATCCCTAGAAGGCCCGAAATGTTTTTAATGCAGCAGACTCGCATACAGAGCCCAAATACACATAGAGACTGTGAGTCATTTTAATAAAGGAGATGACATCTGTTTTAAAATGGAAGTTATTGTCTATTAACAGTCAATATTGGTTTAATACTACAGCAACACAGGCAGGGAAGCCAACAATTTAGATGATATGTAGGGTTACACGCTAATGAAACATTCCATGGCAAACATTGCATGGTTACAACTTTTACAAATAGGCAAATACACATTAATTTACACTATTTAAAGATATGCGGGGTGTGGTGCTAAATCATATACGGCATCACATTTATGTCAGCCAAACATGGGCAGGGGGTGAGATCGGCACAAACAAAAAAAGTTTGCCTTGGGGACCCGGCACAGGCGCTGCGCCGAAATGGCTGGGACTGGCTAAGACTGGCCTCTGTGCTGAGCTGTCTTAATCCGGCCAGCTGTTTATTGGTGATAATTAAAAATAGGGTGGCACAATATCATTGTTATGTACATGTGCAATAATCACCGGTGGCCTGTACTTTGAAGTCGGGTTATCGGGGTAACTCGTCAGATTTAAGGTACCACAGTTTAAATGGACTTCATATTCGTTCACTTACTTTTCACCCAGACTACCTTAAATCCGACAAGTTATCCCGATAAGCCAACAACCCCTCTTCGTAGTACAGGCCCTAGGGCATTAGATGACAAACAAAACATTTGTCGGGAAGCCAGCTTCTCAGTACTATATGACCATTTACTTATGCCCACAATTTGGTAAGCAGATAATTAGTAGATTAATAACTTACAGTACACATCTCATTAATGTTTTCGGTGCCCTACTAATCTGCTTACCAAATTGTAGGCATAAGTAGTAGAGGTGGCTGTAAAGTACGGAAGAGCTGGCATCCGGACAAATGTTTTGCCCGTCATCTAAAGCCCTGGTGATTATTGTTCATGTGCCATATAATCGCGAGTACATTGCGATGTAATGTCGTACAGCCCTAATAATTAACTATTAGTGTTTTCATGTCTGAGCCATCTGCTCAAGCAGATTAGGCATATTGTGTAATTCTATGCATTTCAATTTCATTGAGTATTATATAGTGCTTTGTATAATTTATCCCAGAGCATTTAAAGAATGTTTAGCTGATAATTTAACCGCATCAAAAAGTGGCATTCCTATGCTTATTGCTGTACTGTCAGTCAGTGGGGAGGCTTCATTAGGCATCAGGGAAATCTCTGGGGGCCCAAGGCTAGCTGGCTAGCCACCCCTGCATTAAAGCCTGAGGTTATGTGTCCATGATTAACAGAGATCAATGTCATTCTGTCCTTCTCAAAGCATTATGACTCCTCCCGCTTCTAGATCACAGACTTCAACCAGTCCAAGATCCTGGAGGAGACGTCACTGATGAAGACCCTGTGCGGCACGCCTACATACCTGGCGCCAGAGGTGTTCACAGATGCCATCACGGTGGGCTACAGCAGGGCTGTGGACTGCTGGAGCCTCGGGGTCCTCTTGTTCGTGTGGTGCGTCCCAAGCCCTCTATGCCCCTCTCATGCCAAGAATTGTGCAAATGTGTGGGGTCCTACAGTTCCACTTGTTGGGCTTAATGCGACCTTTAGAAACATCAGTAGCTTGTAAACTAAGCATCCAGGCACACTTTCTTTGCTAATTGGCAGCAAAATATTCAAGCTGTTTCTTATCCATCCTCCTGCTATTGGAAAATAATTATAGAAGATAAATTACTACAAGACAGATGTACTGAGATGTGGCCAGCATTACACCCAAATTATGTCTAATGACGTGCTTGAAGAATTCAGGTCATCAGCAACTCAGAAAATCAGGAAGTACATACCACCGTTTGAGCTGAAATGCTACATTTTTGCTCTCTACAGCTTGGGAGGCTACCCACCCTTCCATGCTGAGTCAGAGATAACGGTCAGGGAACAGATCACTCAAGGCTGCTACCGGTTCATCCCGTCAAAATGGGAGAAGATCTCAGATGAAGGTAAGCACAGGAAGCCTAGGAACTGCATCAGTGCCGGTCCTGGTATTCTCAAGGGGTTGTGTGTATTGGACATTAATGTTAGTGCACACAGCATGAGGAAAGGCAAGACTACAGTTTAAAAGCTGTAGTTTTATCCATTTTGGAGCAGCGTGAGCCCTCTAGACATACATTACACAGGCATGTCAACATGGCTTTTCAGCTAAGGACCTTGTGAGGAAGCTCCTGGTTGTGGATCCGAAAAAGCGACTGACAATCACAGAGGCACTGCAGCATCCATGGATGCAGGTAAGACCTCCCAGACCCCATGCACTCTTTATATTGTATGGAAACAGGCCAGTAAATCACAAATAAATTACGATCTTTTGAGATATTCAAAGCGTAACTGTTAGCATTTTGAAAGCTAGACCACATTTTACGTCTTTTTTACAAAATAACACACGTCAGACCATGTGGTGCTAAGGACCTTCCTCAGGTGTCCATCTGTAGAGCTTCTCCTGGAACTTAACCCAACAACCTTCTGGTTGTAGGTCTGCCTCCATACCCACTACCCTGCTACCCATTAAAGCCTGATATTCAGTCACAAATTTTGTTGGGTCCAGCTCTATGTGTAGCCTACCTCATCGTGTATCTCATCTTACTACATTTTTCCAGTCAATGATTCATTCAAAATGGAGGTTTTTGTGTCATGAGGGCAATGTAATCAGTTCAATTTAATGAATATCATACCAAAATGGACCCCTCCAGGACAAGGCCATGAAGGAAATCGCCATTAGCATCATGTATCCTGGTGAAACCACTTCAGACGTCAAGGTAGGAATTAAACAGCGATTGCATTTTTTTATTGTATTTTCTGTTCGTACCATTTTGGATTAGTTTTGTCATGGTCTAGAAAGTCATAGGACAGCTCTTTGTGACAATAAAATGTGTATCTTCAGCCATCCACCAGTAGAAAACGGCCCTTAGAAGATAAAGACGAATTTCCAGCAAAGAGGAAGCAAGACTCTTCTTCAGCTCAGACTGAATGAAATCTACCTCTTAAATCTTTTTAATTTTCGCCTAAAAGGAATCACAGTATCAACACACCACATCACTTTCCTTGTTTGATTTCTTTAATAAATTACTAGTTTTGTATATTTTTATTAAATATATTTTATTTCCTTGCATTTTTTAAAATGTGAATGTATGTTCCTGCCTTTTTGTTGCTATAATTTGAATGATCTAAGTGTTTAATCCCTATTTTTTATTATTATTCAAGATTTTGTCTAGTAGTTGAAGTAAACCTACCACTCATAAAAATATTCTGGATTAGATTTTTAGATTTAGTGTTTAAGAAGACACTGGATTTTTTTCTAGGTGAGTAAAATGCTGCAAAATCTAATTATTTAGCAATTTAAGTGCATGTCTCAGATCGTGGACAATCTCTCCCTGCATCATCTGCATTCTGTACATCAGCCCTGGTCACAGCTTGGATGTGGACTTGTCTTGAAGTTGATACAAAATCTGGTGTGCCTCGTCGAAAGAACCCCGCAGTGCCGATTTCACCCTGCTCCTCCAGCTTTCCAGCTTGGGTCGCCCCTTCAGAATGTCTCTGCCGCCACCTAGGGGCTGGAGGGAGAAGTGTGGGTGTGTGGGGGATCTTTTTCAATGCACTAGCCAGGTCACGCAGCCCTAACTGTCCCCTAGTGGTGTGGCCATACCTGCATTATTTCACACACGGCCAGCAGGTCGGCCAGAGTGATGTCATCGCCGCAGAGGAAGGGCTGCCTCTTCAGAAACATTCCCTCCAGCTTGTCCAGCGTGTCGCCCAGCTGTTCCAGTGCCCTCTGCAGCTTAGGCTGCTCCACCGGCTGCCTGGTCATATGGGGTACTAGCACCTGGGGGGAGGACTCCTTTCCCACATCATCGCCTCCTTGCACGAACTAAATCTACTTCCCAAATGTATAAGTGCCCTGCAGCTTAGTAAATGGGGCCCCTTCTGCTCTGCCCAATAAACCAAGTGAACAGGGGAGAGAGGGTGTTTCCATTCAGCAGGTACATAAATCAGACAGTAGTTGGCATGAAAATAGATACAACCTAATAAAGGCCTGGAGAAACCTCCCTAAATCTAACTAATGTAACAGAAGAATGTAATGTATCAGATGGTAACACAGACCCTACTTGCAGATAAGACTGCATTTCCCCTGTAAATACTGACAATTGATGCACAGCACCATTCACATTAGAGAGGGCCACAGATGTCTGAGGCATAGACTGATGAACATAGCGTGAGAAGTGGGTCTTACTTCCATGATGAAGACCTTGGCAGCGTGAGGCCGGATGTAGTTGTGGTGCCAGGCGGTGTACTCGTCAACCTTGGCCCTCCTCTCGGGCTGCCGGGGGTACCAGTGCTCCGGGACGTGGTAGTTGGTGGCCATATACTTTAATATGGCATCACTGTAATCATGGGAGTTGCAGGTCAGTTGTATTACTAGAGCAAATTTAAATAGGATTTTTGTGCTGAGCTGTGGGAATTGCTACTGCCTTTATCCAGTATTCAGGGTCATGTGTGTATCTAGTTACTTACCTTTCAGTGAGAACAAAGCCATTGTCTACCATGACAGGAACCTTCTGCATAGGGTTGAGCTTGGTGAACTCCGCCGTTCTGTTCTCACCTAAATTACAGACAATTCTAAATGCCTCTTGGTCGCTACCACTCCTAGCCAAAGCAGCACCCTAGGTGAGCATCATGAGGCAAAGTGAAATTGGCTGGCAAGTCTGCATCCCCTCAGGCGTCTGTGTCACCTATAGGATTGACTGGCCCTGGGGGGTGTTCCACGAAGCAGGATCTGTCCGTTTGCAGGATTTACTTAAACTAGAAGTCCAATGGGAATGCTTTCTTAAACTCATATTGGACGCTCATGACTTCTAGTTTAGGTTAATCCAGATAACTTACAAAGCCTGCTTAGCGGAACACCTCCCACCTATTGGTGTATATTTGTTTTAATTCAAAAGTAGTTCTCATCTCCCACCGTAAGGCGGCGTTTTTTTAGCTTCCGAGTTGTTCACGACAAACTGGCGTGTTGGAGTAAACGTGACATACTAAAGGTCGTTTCCGCTATTCTGGTTGTATTTGAAGTTGATGCACAAAAGTTGACGGTGGTTTCTAGTGATTGCTTACTACTATGTTAATGATCGAGGGAAAATATACGTTTCGCCTTTAACGTTTACAAAAAAATGGAGGGCAAAGTTCATGCATCTGTCCAAAAAATGGGGTGGATTTGCGAGAATAATACTAACTTTCAGCAAATAAATACGCGTATAAATATCTTACATTTGGGGCGCCTTAATCAACTGCCGAACTCCCAGCAAACCAATGTATGGCGTTATTGAACAATTTATTGAGATCTTACTAACGCTGTCCAGTAAAACAGACATAAATTGGTGCTCACCCTTCCGCAGAGCCACAGTTTTAACTGTATGAGGTATTTTATTGTGATTTAGGAAGATGTGCACAGCCCTGCATGGCTGTGATAGCATATCTAAGTACACCTCAAGGGCTTTCTTCGCAGCCATGTTCACCCAGCGCTGCGCTGCGCTGCCCAATGGCTGTGTAGAACTACACACTCTGCGAGCCTCCTAGTAAAGGGCGGAGCTTAAGTCTGTGCTCGATGCAATGGTGCGGCACGGTTTAATTTGTGGCGGTGGGTGTGTGGAGTTTGTGTATTGATCAGATATTGTCCCTTTATTTTAAATTGTAAATTTCATTCATTTGCCAAGCATTAAAAAGGTGCCTTGGATTAATTGAACTGTTGGTAAACACCTTAAGCGAACTAACAACTAAATTTCATAAGACATTACAAATAGAGTGGAAAATGTTGAAGTAGACTCTCCGACACATAACAAATGGATAAGTTTTGCGCTTTGGCCTCATTAAAATATAAATACGACATTCTAATGCCCAAATGTAATTTGCATTTCTATGAAACTATGAGTTAGTGTATAGGTTTGCTTTGAATAATGATTTGTTGGTGATTTTTATATATATATATATATATATATATATATATATATTACACGTGTGTGTGTGTGTAGATTTATTAATTTGGTAACGTTACAATTTGCTTTCGGTAAAACGCAAGGGGACTGTAATCGAATGTTTATCTCCAAAATTTCTTTTCTTATGGGAAATAACAGAACTGAGATAGCGGTTCTGATTTGGACACCTGTGATTGTATAATTTATTTAAGGGATGGATTCATTCACAGAAACGACCAACCAGAACTACATCCACGTAATTTCGTGCATCATGACCAGGGGCGTAAGTAATGGGGGTTGCGTTGGCCACAATATCAGAAAATATTTGAAAAGATCAAATTGCAATGTTTTTCTATCGCCCTTCAAAAGGGTGCTTTTTGCTATTTTACACGTTTTAGTCGTGACAGAGATGAAGCCGAGGAGACTAATTATCTTCTATTTTATTTTGAAATCGCCCGTCACTGAGGGCAAGTGGAGCGCGAGGACGAAAACATACACGTAATTAACCGGGGTGTAGTCCTAACCTATTTCAGACAAAATCATTTTATCATGTGCATCAGTTATTTTTTTAGTTTCATTGTGAATCTGTAATCCTAACAGTATTAATTTAATTTTAAATGATGAAATCTTTATTGTTTTTAAATTATTTTAAAATCTTTGTTACATCTCAAGCGCTGGGGCTATCTATCGGGGAGCGCAATATGCCCGCCATGCCATTAACCTGTTTTTAAAATTAACATGTTTTTGGAATGCGGGGGAAATCGGAGTACCTAGAGGAAATCCCACGACAACGAGGAGAGAACATGCAAACTCGATGGCGGAGGTGTAAGGCAACAGTGCTAACCACCGTGGCACTAATAACATGGCACTAATAACATGCACACTAATAATTATATTACACTTAGTGACAAAAAAAAAAGTTAAGCACCCTGAAGTGATGCTCAAATTTAGATGTAATTTGGAACACGTGCAGACCAGCGATTGGGTATGTAAATGATAAGATTTCATAGACGCATTAGACAGCATTACTAGCACTTGACGTAGCTTGATAGGGACACATTGTGGGTTTGCATGAGACCAGGTGATCGGATTGTGTAACTACCTAGCATGTGGGGCATGCAGATATCACAGTCGCCTGATGTTGGAAGAAATGGGCACCCACACGTCGTGAAGGGTCCACAACAAGGGAGGATCGCCATATTGTGCACCAAGCATTTCAGAACACCATGACATCTGCACCTGCCATCCGGACACAGGTATTGGACTCTACAACACCCCATGTCATCCCGCACCGTCACTCAACGACTGGCATCAGCCAGACTACGGATTCACCATCCCATGCGTAGGCTGCCTTAACCGGGAGGCATGGATGATGAGGAGTGGCATCGTACCATGTTCAGTGATGCATTACCATGGATGACCGTCATGTGCATGTATGGCAGCGCCGAGGGGAGAGGACCAATCCTGCCATGTTGCAGAGAGACACACCGGTGTTACTCCTGACATCATGGTGTGGGCCATAGGGCTTATGTCTTACCCCTCTTGAGACAGTCTTTCAACATGACAGCGTCCATCCACACACGACATCTGTGTCTATGGACTGCCTGCGTCATGTTGAGGTCCTCCTGTGGCCAGCCAGTTCTCCCGATCTTTCATGTGTGGGATCAGCTCGGACTTCAGCTCAGACCCAGTGCCAATCTGCAGGATCTCGAGAGCCAGTTACAACAGCTGTGGGCCGACTTGCCACAGGATTGGATACAATGGCTGTACGACTCCCTTCTGCACCGTATCACTGCATGTATCCAGGCCTGGGGGGGTGTCACACCCTACTGACATGGGACCAGCAGTGTGCCCATACTGCCAACTCTGTTGTCCGTTTGATCTGATATTATAATCATTGCGATAGAGTCACATGATCTTTCACCATGTGCAGATTCATTTCCACCACTCCATCTGGGTGCTTAACTTTTTTGTCACAGAGTGTATTTTTAATGTAACCAGTAAGACTAGTTGTAACATTTTGGCACAGTTGCAAACCAAAGCATTGCTTTGTAATGATTTGTTCTTCATTATCTGAGGCTGTTCACCTCCTCTTCAAGCTAATTACCACAGACAGAAGGGACTTTATTCATTTATCGATAACATGTACAATATGTAAGCTCACAGCACCATGTTTTGTTCCGTCTGTAAGACTCACCCTGCAAAAACACTGCTGTACATCTTTGCAAAATTCAGAGCGATGCCACCCATCTGATATTAACAATATACTATTATCACTACTACTACTACTACTACTATTATTATTATTATTATTATTATTATTATTATTATTATTAAAATCAGTAGTGTTAGTAGTAATAGTAATAATTACAATAAGAACATAAGAAATACAATGATATTATTATGTTTTTAAATGCACACTCCAGACACATGATGTCACCGAGACACGGAGCAGAGGGTAACTCCACCCCCTCTGCTATTTTTCCCTGCATATTTAGACTGGAACTCAGCTTGTATTTCCAGGAAGGTTTTGTTCTTGGTTTCTGGGACCATGAAGAATATGTATGTCGCCACCAAGCAGCATATGACCAAGAACACAAGGAAGCAGTACTGCTTCAGGCCATCCTGTGAGAAAGAAAGGGAGCATTCAGCAAGCAGTAACGCCACAGTAAATCTCACCTAATTCAGGAAATACATTGGCCACTAGATGGCGGCAGAGGTAACAAACGGCATCATTACCAAAAAGCGGCATACTCTCGATTAAGAGATAATGCAATACAGATATGGGATGGTGGATTCTGGTTATCAAATCATTGCTTTAACAGTGAATCTAGTCATCAGCATCAGCTCCAATGCTATGTTGACACATTTGTTTCATGGTACTGCAAAGCAGAGCAGCCTACTGCCAAGCACCCAGAAGCAAACTTCTCACCAAACATTTTGTAAAAAATGAGGTTTGGCTGACACATACCACAATGAATGGGAACAAAATGCCTATAATGAATAAGCTCATCCAATTGATGGAACCTCCAATCATGTAGGCAGCTGCTCGCGAGGTCTGGGTGAATAGCTCGCCATTTAGGATGTTGGTCACACCGCCTACGGACAACGAGCAACGTGTGTAGGATTGTTACACAGACAGTCAAAGGGGCTACACAGGGCTAGCCCAAAAAAGGTGGGTGATCAAGCTATGAAAGCTGGCCTAAGTACATAGGATGGATGTCTTTTGTCTTCCTGTTACTAAATGAGACATGGTGTTACCTGGTCCCAGACCAAAGCTCAGAATAAAAGCGAAGACACAAGCCATGCTTAGGTAAGGCACCGCGGGGCTGATGTCCTGTGCACAAGAAGAAGGAGATGTCTGAGGATGACATTTTACACAGGACTGACCTATTTAAAAGTCTATATTTGACCAGATATGCATCTGGGGCTTATAAATGTATGTCTTATTTTTCTATAAAAATCTGTAAAAGAATATAGTTTAAACATGAAACTGCTTTACCTGTAAAGTCAGCGTCAAGGTTAAACAGACACACCAGAAGGTCATCAGTGAGTAACCCCCGATGATCAACACTCTCCTTCCGAGGGATTCGATGAGCATGCCCTGGACACAGGAAGCATCACATGACTGATGATGTCATCAACCAAGAAAGGAAAAACAAATCACTGTGTAGAACTCTGAGATGTGAAATCAGTCAGGCTTAATGAGACAAACACCAGTTGTACTGCAGTGGTATATAAATTTTTAGACATAACCTGATTTGAAAAAAGAATAATAGAATAATATATGTTCTTTTTTTGCATCATCCCACAGCGTCCCTGTGTAGCTGGAGTATTTTACATCTGCTAAGAAATTTAAAATAAACAAAAAAAAAAACAATAAATAAAAAAAAAACAGCTTTTGTTGAAAGCAGACATAAGTAAGCAAAAAATGCTTAAGGTAAGAATCTGCATTATTATAATAAAGAGTTTAGTGAAACTTTGGTCATTTTGGTCAGTGGAAACAAATGACGATAGCAGTGATTTGTCAGGTGTATAGATTCATCCACTTTCTGCCCAGCTGGTAGACAGAGTCTTTCATTAACTGTGGTTTAGGTTCTAAAGATAAAGTGGGGCTTTACTGATCCCCAGGGTGAAAGTTTCCTGTCTACCAACATTACTAAGATAAATCCCAAGACAGAACCACAACCCCACCCCAGTGAAAATAATAAATGAACCAAAAATGGGATAAATACCACAAAAGTACATAATAAAGTACATGTGTGGTAAATGTTAGTCTGGTGAGACAGAAACAAATGGTAAAGCTGGTCCACTTGTAAAAAAAACTCAAAGCAGACTCACACAGGTGAGGGCCGTGAGACACTCACAAGCACCCGTCCCCAATGTCACGTAGGGGATTTTGCTGGCTGGAATCCCTGACTGGCCAAACACGTAACTGGCATAGAAATAAATCTGCCAGAACAGAGAGGGAGAAACAAACAAGAGCACTCCGTGTTAGGCAAGAAAAGCGATACTGAGACCAAATCAAGCGTCACTTAACTAAAACCCCAGTGGCACTGAGTATCACTGTTGGCTCACACTATAAAGTAATAAGATGTACATAAATGTACATTATAAATGTCTTCATTAGTGTGTGTAGTGAATAACAAGCACATGTTTAGCTAGTGACACAGCTGACTGAATAGCCTCAGTGTACTGAACTATATGTAACACAGTCTATATTGTAATACAGGACCCTCAAGCGGATCTGTTTCACGTGATGTTTTCATGAAGAAATCATGTGATTCTGAGATCTGAGAGGCGGGGGTGGGGGGTGGCATACAGCATTGATGCCATTCAGCTGCTGTGCAGCGTTCAGCAGCACTGAAGTGGTCAACTGCCAGCGGAGGGTGGGGTCCCTGAAGAGTTGCCATGGTGACATTGGCTCCTGCCCCTGGCTGCTGATCCTCTCCCTCTCCATGTCCTCCTGTTCTGCCCTGTAGTCCTCCTGGCCGTGCAGCCGCCTCAGTGCTGGGGGGGGGGGGGCGGGAGCACAGGAGTGTCAGGCTATGGCCCTGTCAGCTCTGCCTCTCAAAGTGGTTCTAAGTCCAGCTCCTCTGGAAATGTATAACATCCCCATTATGGCAGGCAGACACTGGCCACATTCATGCATAAAATAACTAAAAAGGCTAAATGGATTTAGTGACATCCCATCGTCTGGACATCAAGGTTTCTTGAATTGCAGATGTTTCTGACCATTATTGTGTCTTTTTTGATATGCCAGTGTATATGATAAGAGGAAGGTCACTAAATATATCTTATGGTTGATTGTGTTGACACATTTACCGGCCTTATGCTCCTCTTGAACTCCACTTCCCATGTAATGAACTTGTATGGAGATTTAACTTCAGAATTACAGAATGTATAAATATTATCGCCCCACTGAACACTAAGACTGTATCAGACAGAGTGAAGAGTGAGAATGCCCCATGGAGGAACACGAGTCCAATTCTAAAACTCAAGAGACGTACAGAAAGAAAATGGAAGTGCACAAAGCTAATGGTTCATTGTGATATTTACAAAAATTATCCGAACAGTGAACTGAAGAATGCCGGAAAGCTCTGCTTTTTACTACTATTGATATATTGATCAACCCCTTTCCCACACAACTGTTCTGAGCTTCTTGCATTTGATAAATGCAATGAGCTTTCAGCCTTCTTCAGTGATAAAATTAAGGCTATAAGAAAAAACGGTAACACTTTACTTGACAGGGCACAAATTCTGAATGTTGTTCTTTTATGCCTATTTATTGTGCTTTTCATTTTTTCTTCTTTTAAAATGTCTATGAAGCACTTTGTAAACCTTGTGGTAAAAACATCGCTATACTGTATAAATAAAGACTGATTCATAAATAAGGATAACAACAGTTTAGGGAGTTTCTGAAACATATGTGGACTATGGAAATTAGTGTCTTTGAAATGCCCAGAGTGTGTGTGTCCTGCAATGGATTGGCATCCTGCCCAGGACACCCTTTGTCTGGTGCCCTGTGTTTCCTGGGTAGGTGCCAGGCTCACCACAACAGTTACTGGATGAGCAGGTACAGTCAACTCCAGAATTATTAGCACCTATTATGAAAATGAGCTAAAATTAATATATAAAAAGAACTACACGTGCAATAGGTGATTTGTTGGGGTTAAACAAATGGGTAAGACTCATGCTTTCATGATTTTCAAACAGATTTTTGGAACAAAATAAAGTTTTCCTTTAGTAGCAGTAATTTTTATTAAAAATGCAGATTCCAAAAATATTGGCACCCCAAATTTCAGTGTTTGGTGGAGTCTCTCCTGGTGAGAATGACAGCACTCTACCTCTTTCTCCATTGTTTAACGAGGTTGGAGAACACATGTGGAGGGACCTTGGACCATTCTTCCATGCAGTACATTTCCAACCCATTGAACTGTCCTCTAAAATTGCAACCACAGATTTTCATTTGGGTTCAAGTCTGGAGACTGAGAGGGCCCTTACAAAAACTTGATTTTGTATTGCTGTAATCATTTCTGTCAATTTTTATGTGTGTTTTGGGTCACTGTCGTTTTGGAAGACCCAACACAGCCCCATTTGAGCATTCTGGCAGAGGCAACCAGATTTCAGGTTAAAATGATCTGGTATTAAATTAAATCCAAAATGCCACTGATCTTAACAAGAGGCTCTGGACCACTGGCAGCAAAACAGCCCCAAAGCATCAAAGAGCCACTACCATAATTTACCGTGGCTATGTGGTGCCGTTTTTTGTATGCAGTCCCCTTTTTTTTTTGCCAAATGTGACAAAGATTTGTGTGGCCAAAAAGCTCTATTTCTGTCTCATCTGATCACAACGGATGATTCCAGTCGTAACCATAATGTTGTTAGGCAAAGTTCAGACACTGGGATTTGTGACGTGGTCTCAGGAAGGGCTTCTTTCGTGCACCTCGTCCAAAAAGATTCTGGGTGTGGAACTGGTGTCTCACTGTTCATGTTTAAATTCAATCAAACACTGCAGCTGTGAAACTGTGACCTTTGGGCTCCTCTTTGCCTCTTGTAGCATCTTCCTCACTGTGCTTAGGGGCATTATGTGGATGTGTCTCCTTCCTGGCAAATTGGCAAATTTTCGACAGTTCCATGTTTTTCAAACACTGCTTTACTATGGCTCTGATTGTGCTTACTGGTAATTGTACCTGACTACCAATTTTTGGTAGCCATTCTCCAAACTATGCAGTTCAACAGCTTTTTTTCCTCATTTGAGTTGAGTGCCCTTCTGACTTTACCCACGTTGATGGATTTTACCTGTGTGTTACCTCATATTTATACCCCAGTGAAAGAGGCAATTGTCATAGACAACAATAACGTTCCTAGACACTAAAAGCAATATCAAAAAACAGCTTTCCCTAAAGATGTAAATTCCTTTGTTCTAATTTATAATATTCATCAAGGGTGCCAATAATTTTGCCATGTATGTTTGTGACAGAATAAAGTATTCCAAAGATAAAACAACACTTTTGCAGGAATAATTGTATTTAATGAATAGTTTGGTTGCATTTGAGGAAAATTAGAATCATTGTACATATCTATATTATATTAATGTTTTCGCTCAATTTCTTGAGGGATGCCAATATTTCTGGAGTTTATAGACTAAATAGAGGATGGATGGATGTATGGTATTGCAAACAAGGCTACGATAATTATCTTTAAAAGAACGTTTGTGTAGTTTAAATAAGTTTGTAAACATCCTAACAAATATTCAGACCAATCAGACCTGTATTTCAGTAGTTGTACAGCGAGGATGGAGAGGTTTGTACCATTTGTGCACGCATCACTGTCGTCACGTTCAATGAGCAGGTACCGCGGGCTCTCTGGGAACCAGGGCAGAATGAGAAGCTGCATCACGGCTGGGATGGACGTGGTGGACAGCAGAACAGGCCAGAGGTCGTCCCTGCCAAGCAGCTCTCTGCAACGGAGGACAGCCGATATGACCACGTGAGCTAAAACCCCAAGGGCAGGAGCATTCCTGTCAGGGCACATCTTACTATGTGGACATTGTCACTTTTATCGGAGAATCCAGTCCTCGTTTTTTCTGTAGGTACTTTCCATGTGGTAAAATTGAATGAAATATGAGTTTTTCATTTATGTACAATTGTGAAATATTCCATTATTTAGAAGGTTGCATTCTTCTCTCAGAAGAGCTTCTATAGCAGCAGTTTGCATTACATTAGGCATCATAACAAAATGAAGGCTAGGAGGACATAAGGGCATATCCTGAACATTACTTACTTGAGGCCAATCACCTGTCCTACCAAAATACCACTGGTTATAAAGATGGATGTACCCATTGCCACTGCCCCACGAAATGCTCTCGGGGCGATTTCCCCCAGATACAGGGGCTGCACACACATGCTGATACCTTTGAATAACACAATTTGAGAAAAAAAAAAGCATTTTAATATGTGAAAATCCCAGGAGGACAGCTGTAAGAGAAGAGTGCTTTTGATAATGAATGCACCTGATAAAGTGATCACTGAGTGTTAGTGTTTTGTTTCTTAACCAAAAATAACAATTACAAATGTGGAAAATGGGGACCGGTGGTATAAATCAGAGAATAATGAGAATAATAAGTGCTACAAATATGCAAATAAAACTTTCAGACTTACCCGCATTAATCCCGGTCAGAAAACGGCCAACAATAAGAAGCTCATAGAGTCCCGTTGGATAACTCAGCCCCATTAACAGAGCAGCCAGCAAGGAAAAGGTGTTGTTTATCAACAAGGCCCCTTTCCTGAAATGACAAAGATATTTTGTTTGTTTTCATTGCATACACAGAAGGATAAGCATTTTGTCTCACAGGCATAATAAACAAGGAAGAAACCACTAGTCATGAATAATTAAAAAAAATAAAATGTTATCCAAGGGAAATCATTTGATTTAACATTTTTTAATGGTCGTTTCATACTTAATTGAATGGAAAATAAGTAATGCATCAAAAAATGAATTTTTCTGCAATAACAGGACTTTTGCAAAACCCGTAGGCCTAATAATTCATGCGAAGGCTATGCTAGTTTTATTGTCTGGTGTCAACAGCTTCTTAAGTATTTAATGTCCTATACTTAATAGTCACCATTATATAGAGAGCTTAGCTCATGACCAGAGCAAAAATGTCATGCATTGAGCACATGAACTTAGATTTAAGATTACATAATATAGAAGGGAGTTTATCATAAGAAGACACTTAAAATATGACTAAGGAAATGGGTTACAAGATCATGTTTTGTCCATTACAGTTTTTCCTAATTACTTTGGCACATTTCATGAAACATACTTAACATTCTCAAGACAATAAATGCCTTTTTCAAAACAGTTTATGTATACAGCACTACACTACAGCTGAGCTGCAAAAGGCCAAAACTTACGCAAAAACAATGAACTCATGCCTGAAAAGCAAATAATTCCACCAATAAATCAGTCAGAGTCACTAAATTAAAAAGTGACTGCATCATTTTAAACATGAGAGTCAAAATGCTTATATATATATCGGTTCCCACTTTCTGGTTGTCACTGAACGATCATTCTTCTTTAGCAATCTGATACGTATTCATGTCAAAGACACCAGTTTCAACTTTACTAAGCTCCATATTACAGTATGTAAAGTTCACTGTTGAAAGAAAGCACTCGCATGTATTTTACAGATCTCAAGTCACTGTACAATAGGTCACACAGAACTTTTAACACAAAAAGAGCAAAATGGCAACACAAGAACAACAAAATCATGTACTGTGAGAACCAAGATACAACAATGCTGCATCACTGCAATTTAAGGAATATATTTTTGAAAGTCTGGTGAACTGTTTTGCATATGGTGACTGGTACGATGATCAGATACATATATAGTTTTGGTGTAAAATTATTACAATGGGAAACTACATACTCCATTTTTACCAACAGGACTAAAGCAACTGAAAATTGTGCCAAATGATGACAATTGTAGAAGATCATTTGCATTCATTGTGAACATGTAAATGTGTGTGAAACTATAAGAAATGACATTCTGCCATGCAGAAGTGACATTAGTATGGGGATTACATTAGCTGTTTTGCAAACATTAATTACCATTTGAGAATTATGCCAAAGCAATCAAGAAAATCTGTAATAGCCTTTCAACTTGTGTGAAAGCAGAAAAGTCGGCCATCAGGTTCAAAAGATACACTAATATACCTCCCGAGCTTGATGGCCAGATTTCCGCCGAAGGAAGCACCAATCAAACCCCCAAGTGTGAAAATGGAGACAATGATGGACCACAGCAGAGTAAGCGTGTGCTCTGGGATGTCTGTCTCGTATCGGCCCAGCCAGGTCTGGTTGATGAAGTTCTGGATTGACTGCAGGAAAGTGCACAGTAGTGTGGGAAAATCCTTCAGTGGTTTTCAAGTAATACGGGAGCATATGTACAGTATCATATTAAAACTACAAACAGCTAAGATGTGAAATTCAAGTTGTTAGAGTAATTATGCACAGTGTAGTACACTGTGGAACGGTCCTCAATGGCCAGGCCATTAGCAGTCGAAGCCCATTTGTGCCTTAGGTGAGCTTCACTGATGGCGGTTTGCTAAGTCCCCGCCCCCTGACAAGATGCCGACCTCAACACTTACCATATTACTCTTATCAGGATCCCCCACTGGCCCATGTACTGTAGCAGTACGCCTACCTTATATGAATTGTTTTTGTATATGTTATGTAAAATCAGAACACTTTTTAAAATTATAATTGTATAATCTAATATTGGCCACAGAACACTATATTTCTCAGCCCAGGGGTGATGTATTGCAGCAAGATAAACTTTTTTCCGTGTTTCACTTACCTTTGTGGGAGCGTTCATAATGGAAATGTTATAACCGCACTGAAAGGTGCCTCCGATGCCAACTGCGCAAATAGCCAGCAGGAGAGATTTACTAGGAAGCTGCAATCAATAGCAAGCATGTGAAACGACTAATGAACGCAAAGGTAGTGACAGAAATAATAGCCTAAGTGTCTTGTACAGACAGGTTGTAAGACATGCATAAAAAGTAACAAATTTAAATGAGTGGTATACTACAACCAGTATGCAATGTTTAGAAGGATAAGAATCGTAACCGCAACTATAACCAGGAGAGGCAGTTGGAAGACGGATCGATCGGTGGATAAAAATAACAATAGTCCATCTGTCTGCAGAGCCTTTATCCTGGTCATTGGGGTCTGCAGCCTGTCCCATGGAGCGCAGGGCACAGAGCTGGGGTACAGCCTGGAAGGGACTCCAGTAGTAATAATAGCGCAGTAATTCTATGTTTTATTAATTAAGCTATATTTGCGTTCGCAAGTTCCCCATGTTGTGCAGATTCCCGCCGCAGTCCAAAGACACGCACTTTCCAAATCGCCCGTAGTGCATAATTGCGTGTAAAATTATGTACATGTGTGCCTTTGATGGACCGGCATCCTATCCAGGGTGTCCCCACCCTTATATCCCGTGCAGGCCAGGATAAGTGTCTTAAAGATGGTGGTATTAGGAAACGAGAAAGTACAAATGGCAGAAACCAGGAAAGATGACAATATGTCTAAAAGTTTAAACATAACAAGATTATTCATTACTAATCACTTAAATGCGCAACATTTTACTATATCGTCGAAGTAAACATTTAGTCAGCGGAAGCCACCTTAAAAACTTCATTTTAAAGTGAAGTTAAGCGCGCCCCTGTGTTATATACTGTTGTTCTGTGAGTTTTGGTGTAACTGTGGCATTAGGCTACGGTGTTAATTTCTTTATCTGTGCGCTTTCTTAATATCAAATCACGATAATGAACCCCCCCCCCCGAAAGACCATTCACAATTTTACCATTTAGCGAAATTAAATTATCTAATCATTCATATCTCACACATATTAAATATAGAATTCACTTTTGTGGTGGAGCTGTAGTTGTTTACTCTTGTTTGTTGTAATAGGCTATACTTACCTTCATGTGACTATCACTGAGCAAAGGCTGATATTCCGTAACTGCCTCAGTCCCTTTGACCATCTTCAGTGTTAATTTCTGTATTTCAATTTCTAGCCTTTACTTATAATAGCAGCCAGACCCTGAAGCGTCACGGTTTGCCTCGGTAGATGCAGCTCCACTCATAATCAAGCAAACAGACAGCGCCGCAGTGCGGTAGATATACACAATAAACCATTTGTCCAATTTCATCTGGTGTACGGTACTAGCGTAAGACTAGTTCGTCATTCTCTAAAGCAAAAGGTCGCACATTTACAACTTCTGCTGATGTTAGTTTAAATGCCTTTTCGTGTGTATGTACAAAATAAAAATGAGGATAAATGAAAATTATTACCATTCCTTTTATTATTCAGATAATTAATTTAACTTGAACTTTATTGCAGTTCTTGGGGTGGAATAAATGTTGCCCTACGTCAGTTAAAAATATCCTTTCGTGCTTTCTGGGTTGTACATATTCGCGTTTGAAGATGTGGTTTCATCTGAATGTTTCTCACATGATGGGGGGGAGTTAATTCCCTTGAAGCAGATTAACCAGAAATCTTAATCTAGACAGAAAGCGGTTACAGTTTTTTTTCGACTGCTTTGTAGCATTTCTCAAACGGTAATTAACATTTGCAGAACAACAAGTGTAATCCCCACACCATAATGTCACTGTGTGCTAAGGTACAGTATAGTAATAGAGTGCTTTTTAATGAAAAGTTTCGGTCAAGTGTAATTATGTTTAGATGACAGGCTTTACTGAGCCGGATGCAACCAGGAACAAAGACGTACTGCAGGCAAACTCGTAGTCGTGACGGAAGGCACAGGGTCGTTGAATCCGGAGAGGTCAGTGCAACAAGCAGGAGACCATACAGGCTTTGAAACACAGCGGGGCTCTGGAGAGGAAAGGCAGGTGCGGGAACAGGAACTGGGGTGTTGAGGAGCGAGTTCTTAAGTACGTACAGCTTCCTCCAGGTGCGTCGAATCTTGGGGAGTTCAGGGCGGCGTGACAGGAGGGCGTGGCAGACAAGGGGGCCAGGAGCCTGTCCTGGAGGCTACAGGTGACGAACGTCCAGAACCTTCATAGAACATTGTGGACGTTTGCAGAATATCCTCTTTTGGTTATGAAATTATCGCAGCTCCCCATGTGCATTCCCTATGTGTCTTTAGGGGGACGTTCCATTTTGGTTATTGTATGATCTCAGTGCAATGTTAGGAAATTTAGGATGTTAAGAAGATGTTCCTATTTGCGTGGGCGGAACCGCTTACACCTGGAGAGGCGGCTTTAAAAGGATTCACCCTGCACTCCCCAGCGCAAGGTATTGTTTCATGTGACATATATAATGAGCGTTAATTTCTGTCTCCCTTGCAGCGCTATAGCCCTGTCCTCCCATGTTGGTCCCGTTCCTCCCCAGATCCTGCCCGTGTCCGCATGCTTGACTTCCACGGCTTCTCTTCTGACCACTTGCTTTGTGCCACATTTACGCCTCCGGATTGCTCCCTCCTACTCTGTTTGCCTGTTTCGAAATAAAGTCCCTTCCCATGAAAGTCCCCGATCTTCTGTGTGCTCTGTCCCATGACAGAATACCTCGCCAACTGACATGGACCCGGCAGAGGTCCAGCAACAACTGTAAGATGCCCTGGACCAGGTCGACCAACGCACTGGTTGGACAGCTCCAGCAAGGCGTCGCCGCAGCCACTCCCCTACCGGTAACACCCCCCCACCCGTGCCTCCACAGGAATTCCCATCGCCATCCCAGAGCGCTATGACAGGAATTCCGATCACTGCCGAATGTTCTTAATGCAGTGCAGGTTGTACATTGACCATCACCCGGACATGTTTGTGGACGACCAAGACCGGGTCCACTTTGTTATCTCTCTCCTTACTGGGCGACGGCACTATGGATGGAGAAGAGTCCTGGGAGACCGGCTCCGGTACCTTCACCAGGGTAACAAGTCCGCCACGGACTTTGCCTTGGAGTTCCGGACCCTCGCCCCCGGGCTCGACTGGACGGCTTCATCCCTCCAGATGCTCTATAGGGGAGTCCTCAATCCAGAGCTGCAAGGCGATCGAGCTGGCATGCCGAGGCGAAGCAAGGGCGTTTGATGACTACATGCAGCTGTCTATTGCCTAGGACAATGTGGTTCGCGAGCGATGTCAGACCCGCTCTCTCTATTAGGGAGATGCCGGACACTTATTTCGAGCTTGCCCAAACCACCCCGCTCAACGTCCCTCTCCCCAGACCCAGGTAAGAGTTCTATGTCCTATCAAAATTGCTGCAGACAATGACAGACACCGACACCCCGGGCCCCCATTTCATCCCGGTCAGACAGTCTGGCTGGCTATGCAGAACCTCTGCCTTCCCGGGTGCCGTAAGTTCGCCCCGTGATATGTCGGACTAAGAACATACCTGTACTCTGCACTTTGTTGATTGCACATTAGGAACGTATACCTTCCGCGATAGGTGGGGGATCACTGTAATCTGAAACATGTTTTAAGACTCGATATCTGACCCATACCATGTATTTGTAATTCGGCCTAATCTGTTTTCCCTTTACATCTAAAGTTCACCCGCGATTAATCAGGATAGCCGGTGTGTCCACGGTTTACCATTAGGCAATGTTATTTGTAAAAAGATGGCACATTTTTCAGCAGATTTTGAGAAGCAGTACAAAAACCATAGTTATAAGCAGGGGTGCTGTAAAGGGGGGGTAAACGATGACGATTCTCGGGGCCCATGACTGAGAGGGGGCCCAGAGAAAAAAGTCTCAGCTGTGTTGGGGGCCCTGTCAAGATTCTTTTCATGGGGCCCAAAATCCTTAGCAGCGCCCCTGGTTATAAGCATATGTTGTGTATATACACTGCTCAAAAAAATTAAAGGAACACTGAGAACACATCAGATCTCAATGGGAAAAAATATCATGCTCGCTATGTATACTAATATCGGCTGGGTAATGTGTTAGAAATGAAAGGATGCCACATCTTTTGATGAAAAAGAAAATTATCAACCTACAGAGGACTGAAAATCAAAGTGAAAAAATGATGCGGCAGGCTAGTCCATTTTGCCGAAATTTCACTGCAGCAACTCAGAATCGTACTGAGTAGTGTCCTTCCTCACCATATCCACATTGTCTCCCAAGTCGGTAGAACGAATTCATGCAGTGGGGTTACATGCCTATCGGGAGTAATCAGCTTGTAGAGCTGTTATCGTGATGTGCTTCCGTTGTGAGCCCTTACAGTTGCTATGCACATGCTGAGCGGTTTAACTCTGTGTTTCTTCCCCATTTACGGTCTGTTCTTCTTGCCCTTGCCGAGCCTCCCACGCCTCCTGCCCTTCCCGTGAAGCCCCTCGTGTATTCCACCCGTGTTCGTCGTCTACATCCAAGGATTGATCTACCGGCTTCTCGACCTTCGGCTTCCCCTCTCTCGACCACGGCTTTGGATTGCGTTTTGGCTTTTGGCGATACGATCAGACGGCTATTGACAACAACTTTGACCCAGCTCACGACTACCCTTTGTTTAATCCCTAATAAACTTGGTTGCCTGGATCCACTTGTGTTCATCTTGTTTGGCAGGACACATACAGACATTCAACATCAATGACTCCAGCAGGAACAGAACAGGATCTGGAACTTAAATACAAAAAGTTAACAAGGATAATACAGGACAGGTGAAAACAATTAACCAATCGGGGAGGGTGCAGTACAGCGAGCACACAGGGTAAAATACACAAGGGCAAGCACAAGAACTGGTGACAGGTGGAACTATTAATTAACTCAAGGAACTCAAAAACTAAACAGGGAAACTAAGAACTGACAAAGAAACGATGAAACAGAAACTAAACACTGGGAAAATAACAGAGGCAGGTAAAACGGAACCAAGGCAAAG